AAATAAAGAGCTTTCCAGATAGGAAAAAAAAGGCTAAAATAGCTTATCCCCACCAAACCAACATTGCAAGAAATGTTAAAGGGACTGCTGTAATTAGAAGTTGAAATAGAAAGAGAAACATAGGCATAAAGAAATAAAATGGCAATAGATAAATACGTATCATTAATAACCTTAAATATAAATGGATTAAATGCTCCAATCAAAGGACATAGGGTAGCTGAATGGATAAAAAAACAAGACCAATATATATGCTGTCTACAAGAGACCCACCTCAGAACAAAAGACTCATAAAGGCTGAAAAACAAACAAAAAAAATTCTGGAGGACTTTAAAGCAGATATCGACAGCAATACAGTCATAGTAGAGGTCTTTAACACCCCACTGATCTTATTGGACAGATCTTCCAGACACAAAACCAAAAAGAAAACAGTGATTCTAAATGACACACTAGATCAGATGGATTTCATTGACATTTACAGAACATTTCCCCCCAGTACTGCAGAATATGCATTCTCCTTAAGTGTACACTGGACATTCTCAAAGATAGACCACATGTTAGGACACAAAAAACAAGTCTCTACAAGTTCAGGAAGACTGAAATCATATCAAGTATCTTCTCGGACATTTATACCATGGAATACTATGCAGCTGTTATAACGAAGAATCGCTTACCCTTTGAGACAGCATGGTGGGACCTGGAAAGGATTACGCTAAGTGAAATATGTCAGTCAGAGAAAGACAAGGATAACATCATCTTACTCATATGTGGAATATAATGAACAAAATAAACTGATGAACAAAACAGATCCAGAGACACAGAAGCATGGAACAGGCTGAAGGATCTCAGAGAGAAGGTGGGGATGGGGGAGTGGGTGGGGAGAGATTAACCTAAGAGCTTATATGTATATATGCATAACCCGTGGATACAGACAATAGTGTGGTGAAGGCCTGGGGGGAGGGGTACAGGGTGGAGGGGATCAATGGGGTAAAAAAGGGGACATTTGTAATACTTGTAACAATAAAGATAAATTTAAAAAAATGTTTAAGGCTCTTTGCTTCAAGCAGTCAAAAGGTTTTTGAGCAAAACTGTATCAATTATACTCCTATCTATCTCAAGGACATGGGATTTTGTCTCACCACAATATTGTCTTATATTCAGAAGGGGAGATGGATGAATCTCTGAATGTGTAAGAAAAGAAGGAAACTAAATATTGCAGGACAGGAGGATTTTTAATGAAAATAAAGTCCAAGCAAAGATGGTACAATACCAATGTGGGGAAAACGTGGGAGATGAGTACCCATAAGAAGGTCAGTGTGAATGAGAAAGACCGCAACTTTCTGAAAAGGTAGAAGGGAGAGTAAGTGAGTAGATACAGGTAGATCAGTTTGTTGAATTTATCCTTGAAGCCTCAGCTTTCTCCACAGACCAGAGAACTTCAAAGAGAACTCCTGAAACATTTAAGAAGGGACTCCTTTTTCATGGATTAGCCTAGATTTGTAATTTGCCATGCCTCACTGATTCCTTTGGAGTTTGTTCTTCATTATATAATTATCTTCAACTTGCTGCAACTGAAATATCATATCTGGGAAACACACAGGGGTTGTATAACTGTGCAGAAAGCAAATCAGTTCCAAATTCTGGCTTATCAGGGATGGACCAAGTATGGTTTCTCAAGCAACTCAGTAAAGCTACCATTTCCCAATTCTTACCAAGTAAAGGTCTTTAGCTCCTTAGAATAATCAGAAACATCCTTTTGTTCCAAATAAAATTTGGAAACTGATTCCAGAGCCACAACTCCTGGGACTCCATCACTATTTAAAATTGAAGAAACAAAGACTTCAACAGTCATGTTCTTACCCACTGAGACCAAGTGGCTGTAATTCAGCATCACAGGTCAGTGCAGCTTCCTCTGAGCAGGGTCCAGGGGACCCCACTCCTCCACAGTCAAGTCCACAGAGAAATCCTCGAATGTCCCTGGTTCCTAAAACATTAAGCACATTTCTCCTTAACTGACAACCATCTGCACAAATGCCCTGGAAGGAAGGTGAGGTTGGGAGCACCTGGAAAGGTGAAAAGGGTATAGAAGAAGTTGCAGTGCAGGGATCTGAGGGATCCAAATCAAGTTTTATTGGAAACTCACTCCTTTCTCATCTACTTTGCTACTTCCTTCCAAATCCTGCCTCTCCTGCCCACAACTCACTTAAGCTCAAGCTATTCAGCTACTTAATCTTTCCATGTCATTGTCATCTCATGGTCCTTGCTGAGTTGTGCTTTCTACCCCTATTTCTACTACTATTATCCAGACAACTTCAACAAACACGAGAACAATTTACCCAACATCCTAACCTTCTTAACCTACATTTTTTAACCTCTGTAGTCCCAATGATCTGTCTCATTTCACACTCAATAACCATATCAGGGCCATTTCACTATTCAGTCTCCTGAATTATAGGTCAATGCTCAACCACTGAGCCATGTCAGATGGGCAGGGTGATCTTTTTTTTTTTTTAAAATATATCTTTATTGATTTCAGAGAGAGGAAAGGAGAGGGAGAGAGAGAGAAACATCAATGATGAGAGAGCCATTGATTGAGCCCGCAACCTGGGCATGTGCCCTGACCGGGAATAGAACACCCATCTCCTGGATCTTAGGTCGATGCTCAACCGCTGAGCCACGCCCGGCTGGGCGGGCAGGGTGATCTTTAAAAACACACACGAGCCTGCCAGTGTAGCTCAGTTGGTTGGGTGTGGTCTGGTGCACTAGGAGGTCCCCCGTTCTATTCACAGTCAGGGCACTATGCTCAGAGTTGCTGTCTGGATCCCCAGTAGGGGGCATACAGGAGGCAGCTGATCAATGTTTCTCATCGATGTTTCTATCTCTCCTTCCTCTCTCTGAAATCAATAAAAACATATTTTAAACACACACACACACACACACACACACACACCACGTTAGGCATGACAACCTCCAATGGCTTTTNAAATCAATAAAAACATATTTTAAACACACACACACACACACCACGTTAGGCATGACAACCTCCAATGGCTTTTCAATGGACATTGAGTAAAATCAACTCTTCATCCTGGCCTGCAAGGCTTTACAGACTGAGGTCCTGTCAATTCTCCAGCTTGGAGTCACTCCTCCCTTATGGGGCAGATCCCTGACCACATCAAATATCCCAACTTAAGGAATTTGCAAATTGTCCTTTCCCCAGAATGTTCTTTTTTCACACCTTTCACATGCCTGGTTCCTTATTCAGGTCTCAGATGAACTGCCATCTCCTCTGAGAAGCATTTCCTTGACCATCTCATTCACAGTGGCACCCAAAAAACCTGTTCTAGGTACTTTTGCTGTAGCATCGACGCCACAAGCGTTTTTATTGCAAACATTATCCGAGCATAACTCATTGGCTGTAAGGCAATTCTGCCATAAAAAAAATAAGTAACTGGTTGGTTGATTTTTTGGTTTGTTTGGTTTCATTTCTCCATGACAAAGCAACAACCTTCGGGAGACTTAATTGGTTTTGCTTCTCCACTGACAAAATTCTCAGTTACTCCCATTTTTATATTATATATACATCTTAGCTAGTCCTCATAATGGTCTATAGTGATGAGTAGATGTGGTGGTGCACTTAAAGTAGGGAGCATTTCTTTCAGATGACAATGATTGGCCCTAAGAGTTTATTTCTTATTTTTTTAAAACTGATTTTGAGAGAGAGGGAGGGAAGGAGGGAGGGAGGGAGGGAGGAGGGGGATTTGTTGTTCCATTTATTTATGCATTCATTGGTTGATTTCTAGATATGCCCTGACCTGGGATTGAACCCACAACCACATTGGGAGATGTTCTAACCAACTGAGCTATCTGGCCAGGGCCATGATTTCTTTTTTAAACACAGTACAAAGGGAAGAGAAGAGGCCAAGGGGTCTCTTGTAGAGGGTGCAGAGTTAAACGTTTCTCACAAAATAAAGACAAGTGCTAAGGTACAATCCACAAAATAAAATCAGTTATTTGAGCAGTATTCCCATGAATCTACACATACTTTAAAATGTATTGGAATATTTTGTATTTCATAATAAAATCTTTTAAATTTTATGCCTTTTTTAATGTCCCTTTTTTACTTTTTGTGATTGTCTTTCTTTAGAATAGTGTTTTTATTGATTTCAGAGAGAGAGGAAGGGAGAGGGAGAGAGAGAGAAACATCAATGATGAGAGACAGTGGTTGATCGGCTGCCTCCTGCCCGCCCCCTGCTGGGGATCCAGCGGCAACACCGGCAAGTGCCCTGACTGGGAATTGAACCTTGATCTCCTAGATCACAGGTCAATGCTCAGCCATTGAGCCACGCTGGCCAGGCTATATCTTTTTATTATTTATTTGTTTATTATTTTAAAAACCCTCACCAGAGGATATTTTTTCCACTGCTTTCAGAGAGAGTGTAAGGGAGAAAGGGAGAGAGAGACGGGCGGAGGGAGAGAGAGAGAGAAACATGGGTGTGAGGGACACACGGATTGGTTGCCTCTGGCTCTCATCTGGACCAGCAGGGATCCACCGGCAACCGAGGTCCGTGTCCTTGGGGGGAATGAACCACGGACCCTTTAGTGTGCTGGCGGATGCTCTAACCATTGAGCAAAATCAGGGCTATTTCTTTTTTTAATGGCAAAATCACTTTACGGCTAATACCTGTGTGTGAAAACGCTTGCGGCAAAGATGGCTATGGCAAATATACGAGACACGCCCCAAACTAACACTTCTCCCAGTTTTAATCCCTGCGCACTACTATCTTACCTGTTTCTTACTCATTTGCTTTCTTATTTAATGCCTCTCTCTTCCCATCAGAATAGAAGTCCCCTAAGAACAGAGAGGCGGCCTGGTTCGCCCTCGGCCGGTCCTTCGGCCTGGCCAGGGCCCCGCGCCTCCGAGGCGCTAACGCGCGGTCACCTCTGCGGGGAGCCGGGCTCCGCAGGGGCCTCCCACGGACCGACCCTTTTCAAGCCGCCTCTGAAGGACCACTTTCTTTTAAAAAATTTCTAATGTGTCACAGACCAATAGTTTCGTAAAATACAATAAAAAGACATGAAATACCAACACCAATTTTTAAAATTACTAGATTTAACAGATACAAGCTTCCAACAATCTTACGCTAGCGTAGGCAGCTAGTTATTGACAAGAGAAGGGCGCTAAACTGGCCGAGTCTGACGGACTAGGACGCAACAGCTCCAGACACTCAAGGGGAAAGCTGCGTTGCCCCACCCAGGGGATCGGCATCCCTTTCTCACCCTGAGCAGGAGGAAGGCCCGGCTTGCCAACCCCCCAGGGAGCAGCCAGTCACTCCCCACACTACCAGGGGCAGGGAGAAACTGGGCCTGCCCAGAAACCAAGATGGCGCAGGGGGAACACCTTCTAGTGAGGCATGCGCAGTGGAAGCCAAGATGGCGCAGGGGAGCGCCTTCTACTGAGGCATGTGCAGTGGAAGCCAAGATGGCGCAGGGGAGCACCTTCTAGTGAGGCATGCGCAGTCGAAGCCAAGATGGCGCAGGGGGAGCGCCTTCTAGTGAGGCATGCGCAGTCGAAGCCAAGATGGCGCAGGGGGAGAGCCTTCTCCTCGGAGGCATGTGCAGTAAAAGCCAATATGGCAAACATAAAGGGGAGGTGACTAGTCCAAGAAAAAGACCAGCTAGGATAAGGGCATGGAACCCCGGAAGATCCAGGAAAGGAACTGGTTAGGGGGCGGGCCCACTACAAGCCCCTAAAGAACTAGGAAGATGATTGGTTAGTTTGAAAGCTCACCTATTCTCTCCCAAACCCGAGGAAATACAGGGGAGGCTTAAAGGCCAGAGCTTTGTTCGTTTGTGCTGGGGCGTTCTCTCCGCTTTTAGCAGCCCTGCGAGCTGAAGAGCAGCGCTGGGCTGTGGCCAGGGCCGGCCTCGCTGCGGGTGTGCATTTGGGGACGAGACGCAGGCAGGTGCCGCCAGGAGCGGAGCCGCCGCGCGGTGGAGCCCGGGGTGCAGGCGGCGCAGCTCTGCGTCTTGATCCTCATGGTGGCCCAGGGCTGCTTCTGCAGCAGGTGGACCCGGTTGTGAATAAGACATCGGGCAGCTGGGGGCGGCCCTTTGTTTTGCTCCAATAAATGTTACCACTATGCTCAAGTCCCCGAAATGCATCTCCTGCGACTCTGTGAAAGAATCCGGTTTCCACCGGCAACACTTAAGTCTTTGTATACTGGCAACAAGCTGTTTGCCGGCTGCCACCCGTCTACGGGCCACATGCTGAAAAGCAGAGGACGGAATATACACGAAACAACCGAGAGCCCAGTGAAGGCCACAGGAGCAACGCAACTCTGCGCTAGGGAAGCGCCCGGGGCCTTCAGAAGGGCTCACATCTTAGCCGGGCACCACCTACTCCTTCCTCAGGAAACTGAGGACGACCAGCCTTCCCCACCCACCTACCCCCAAAATGACTTCACTATACTCTATTAGTCACCAGTGGAGAAGGTGCTAATGAGGCAAGTGGCAGTTTCTCTCCAAGGTCACAGGTCTCCATTGGGGCTAAGAAAGAGGGATGAGATTGGGCTAGAGAAGCCTGCAAGCCCCTGCGGAAAGGTGGGACAAAGAAGTGGAAGTGGAGGTTGTTGTCCAAGAGTGACATGAATGTACCCTTTAGTACAACAGGGCCAGGCAAATATCAAGCAGTATTAGCCACTCCTCTCAACCAGACATCTTCTTGACCTCAGAGAAAAAAGGTTTCTTTCTGTCCAAGGCTAATCTCTTCCCATGCATTTCAGATCAAATCCTTTCTTCCCCTCTGAGATTCAAGTCCATCAATTATCTTTCTCCCTTTTATATTTTATCCATCTTCTATCCTGTTGTCTGGATTGTCTAAGACACCTTTCCTACCTCAACAATATTCAGATAACTTCAGATCTTTTCAATGCTGTCTCCTAAATCTCTGTCCGATGTGTTATCTCTTCTTTAATCCTATTGCCACGGTCCTAGGTAAGGCCTTCATTTCTTACCTAAACCACAATAACTCCTTACCAAGTCTTCAAATACAAATTTTGCCATTTTTCAATAGGTTTAGTAATTTTAAAAAATCCCAGATGAAGTAGTGGGGAGAATTCTGTGCTGAGAATGAAAAGGTTATGCTGATGGACTATAAACTTTGTAGTAGCTTGAAAATTTGAAGATGAGAAATGGTATGACAGTGGACCAAATGAAAGGAATCAGTGTGACAGGGGAAAGGAAAAAGAGAAAGAAAATAGTGGTCCTGTTAAAGCAAGACAAAGTTGGGACTAAAAGACCCTGAGTAATGAAGAGTCTCCCCTGGTATCAGTGGAGTGTATGAGTCACCCCAAGGCAGGACTCATGCTTACTCTGGGAAAGTGGACTCAGTATCCCGAGGGCCAAGGTGGAAGGTCAAGTCCTGGTACCAGTAGTTTCCTGTTCCTCCCACCACCCACCTCCTACCAACAAATGTCAAACTCCTCCAAACTACATACATCATGTGGCTTTCAACTTC